TACCATCTTGCTCTTGCAATGAAAAAATCCCCTGCAACACAAAAACGGCTTTTCCCTAACAAACATTATAAAGCAAGGTTTCTACTTTCCATTATGAATTTTTTTTTATTCACAGACTTAAAAAAAAACCTTTCCCAGAGCCTAGAAAGGTTTTAGTTTTATGTCTATGGGTTGAGCAGAAAGATGGGGGTATCTGACGTGATCCTCACAACATGAAAGGTCCACACAACATGAAAGCTAGAAAATGTCTTTGGCTTATGCACCAGGCAGGGAGTTTCATTTCTTCAATAATTACAAGATACTGTAGTTTTTTCGGTACGCTCTTGCCACTGCAGCCTTGGTTCGAGTCAAGGCTGTGTCAGGAAGGGCATCCAGCGTAAAACACGTGCCAAATGTCAACATGCGAATAGTCAGTGTGATGATTCGCTGTGGCGACCCCTAATGAGAAAGACGAAAGTGGCATATACTGTAGTTTTTGCGGTGCTTTAAAACACCATTTTCCATAAGCTCTAGTTTTTTTTTTTCAGTGCACAAACTATTGTTCAACTTCGTAAATAAAAGGTTTCAATTTCTTACACCAAGTGCAAAAGTACCTACTTCATTTTTCCAAAGGTGGATGATAGAAATGCAAAATGAGCGATTTCAGAGTTACAGAAGCTGGTGGAACAGAGGATGGATGGGATGGGACGGGACGGGATGTCGTGACTCTCTATATTTTGGACTGACAATGTAACCAGGTGATTTAAATGCAGATCCAAACCAAAGAGGACCAACAGTGTGTCACACCACAGTGTATATAGGAAAAATGAATGCCCCATAACAGCTCCTCCAACTTTGCAACTCCATAGTTTCCTATGATGCGTTTCATCAGGCTTAAGTTATAACACAATAAATTTAGGTTAGTTTCTCAGGTATCAGTTGCTGTTTGCGTACAGACTAAAAACAGTCAAATCCTAACCAGACATGACACAGAAAATAAACAAAAGTGTGGACTCCTCATGTCCTCATTCTGGTCCAGTTATATGCTCAGAAAGCAGAAGTTGATGACAAGGTTTAGCTCATCTAGCAAACATTTTCCATCACCTGCTTCTTGGTGTTCGGCGGTCATCAGTATCACGATACACAAAAACATACAGGGAATGTCCCCATACCATTTTATGCCTAAAAAAAAGATTCAACGGGCATGTTTGCTTGTGAATAATAGTGACAACACATGCCAAACTAATAATTAAATAAGAAACAAAAAATAGTTGGCAAAGAAGAAAAACAAACTCCTACTGTATTGCATGTAAATATTGTAGAAAATCCTTAAAAATACAGTTTAGGTAACCACTTAAGTACTGAAGTCATCACAGCCAAAAGTGCAGAGGTCCATAAATAAAACATTGACTGTGGATAGACAGTAACTCCCCTCCCCACCACCACCACCACCACAAGGGACTTAATGAGTGCCTGGTCAAAGGTCAGAGTTCATGAACTAGGACTTACAAGTTCCCACAATGATGCACAGAAAAGAGAACAGGAAGGAAAGTTTTGTTTTGTTTTCAATTCTCTCCTATCGCTAACAACAGCACTCACAGATGCACAAACGTCACTCGCACAGTTGCAAAGTTCATTCCCAGTAACCACTGCCTGAAGGTCTGCTGACAGCGGCACGCATAGAGAAAATGAGGGTGGGGTGCGGGAAGACGTGAGGGCAGGAGGGGGGTTACTGCAGGGCACATAAGGCGGCAGGGATGCAGGTTTTTGTTGAGACACATTTTCCGTGCTCTGACAGCATTTACAGTTAGGGAAGAGGGAGTGTGTACATATCACTGAGCCAGGAGACTGAAGTATTAAAGCTATTGAAGTGTCAGAATAAAAACATTGTCAGCAGTAAGATAATTGAAGGAGGGCAGGGGGGACACTGAGAAAACTGCTCATTGAAGGTTTTTCCACAGTGGGCTGGTGTGTGTGTGTGTGTGTGTGTGTGTGTGTGTGTGTGAGAAGGAGCCTGTACCACAAAGCAAATTCATCTCACTCTGGCTTCACAGCTCCTACCACTGGCTATCCTGGAAACAAGTCTCACAAAGCTGGTTCCTGGCCCTGTTAACCCACAGTTTACCAAAGTATGTGGGAGTTTGTTTACATTAAAGAGGTGCAAGAGGAAGCCAATCACATGCCACATCAAGAGAAGCATAAGTAACGTTAAGACTGTTGGGTCTCTGTGGGGAATTTGATCACTGCAGCACTGAAATGCAGTATCCATCCATCCAAAGTTAAAGAGATATAGAAAATAAACAGGCAACAGCATAAACAATAGAAAACAACTGATTAATGCAATAATTAAATGATGAAAATAAACTGTTACCTATAAAATACTATTAAAAGCAACACAATAATAATTCATTGTATTCTCTAATAAATAGAGAAGAGGATTAGGGTCACTGTAAAAAAAAAAAAACATTTCATTTCTGACTTGTTTTGTGAGAATTCTGACAGAACTCAAGTACATTTTCTTACAGTGGCCCTAATCCTCTTCTGTAAATAGACATAATAAATAGTGGGAAACATTTCATAAATGTTAGATATGGAGTAGCTGCACATGAAGCCAACTGAATCTATGGATGTGTAAAAAATGTTGCTTTGTGCTTAGTACCTTTAGTCTTGATCTAATCCTCTAAACTGAAACCTCACTGAGGAAGCTTAGCCAAGCAGCACTGGCTTAGTGATCTGGTTAATGTGAGCGAGCCTTGTGAAATCAGTCAGCCTCAGATCTAACGCACTTCATGATGTAAACCCCTTGGCAACACATTTCAGATATTTAGGACTGCTCTGCTTATCTTATTTTTCTGCCTGCATGCCCTCTGTTGATGCTGTTCACCTGGTAACTTGGTTTCAAACACTCCACTATTAGCTCAAATTCTTCACAATGCTTAAGAGGAAACCTCAAACCTATTCACTGACAACCATCTCATAAAATGCACAACACAGCTGAAAGTAACTGTTAACAGAGCTAATTAAAGAGCCCATGGCATGCTTTTGTGTTTTCTGACTTATCTACAATGTCACACTGATGAATTATCATCTTAAAAGTGACCAAAATCTAAAAAAAAAAAAAAAAAATGAAGTTTACATATGTTGTTGTACTTCTATGCAGAGGTTTATACAAGTCTCGCGAATTTTCCCTGCCAAGACTTTTTTCCATCTATGTAAAGTCTTACGCAATAATTCACGGATTTCCTTGAATGGTCATTATCTCCAGGTTGTTGCATGTTCATGTGAGCTTGCCTGAAATCGACAGGTGCCATTCTAAAAGCAGGAATTTTTTTTACTGGGCATGGTTTTGTGGATATCTTTCCCTCCTGCTACTGCACTGTGACCAGAGCATGTGAAGAAAAATACAGGGCCTGCAGTTACTGCATGTCCGGGAAAGCTCCTGTACAGGGACTCGTTGTTTTACCTGACTGGGTCTAATCTACAAGCCCCCGGGGAGTTTAGTGATCAGCTCATCAAGGCTGGATTCCCCCGGAGCACTACCTGTTTGTTTTGACCGCTTGTATGTCAGGCCAGTATGTCTGAAACATGTGATGTGTTGCTGGTTGGTGAGAGGTTTCTAACGATCCATGATGTTGTCAGTGCGATGCCACCTGTTAGGAATGTATGTAGTCGCCTATAACATGAGACGAAGCTATCACCGGTTTGATTTACCAACCTTGAAGCTTCCACTACTCGGTGGGACATAACAGTAAGTTTAAAAAAACCCATACGTTGAATACCTTTTAATGCGTTGTTTCTGTAGAGTTGTTATAAGGCTGGAAAAGTTACTATATGTATGTATTGTGCCAATTTAAAAAATGGGGTTTCTCAATTACCCACTTTGTTTAGAATGTTACAAATCTCTTTTCATCTGTATACATACTGTTGTTTACCCATCTATGAAGGAGAAATTCAAATTATTTAATGCTGTTGTGGTTCGTTGTGCTGTCCACTTTCATAGTGTGGCTCAAACATGTCAGGTAGGATTTGAGGTATTGTCACTGGTGAAAAGTTAGCTTATCTGTCACTGTTTTTTGTTTATGCGTTGTCCTGGCTTCCTGACTGGTCAAAAAGGGTTCCCACATCGAGATGTTTCCCCTGTTCAAAACTTGGTTTCATGTAGTGACCCTCTCAGTGGTTGTGGTTAGGATAATGTTAGGTTAGGCGAAACAGATTTCAACACAACACTAGGAACAGGAGTTGTGTGCATTCGTGAACTATCCTCTCGTTTTCAAGAGGAGGCTCTCCTTGTGATATCAGGTTTTATCGCTCTGAGATAATTACAAACTATTTGGAGTTATAATGGGTGCAAAGCTAATCTAGAGGTACCTAAGTTTAAACATTAAATTGCTGGAAATGAGCATGCCATGGGCTCTTTAATGACCATCTACCACACAAGTCACCTGACATTTCCTCTCTTAAAATTTCTAGAAGGCTTGATTAACAGAAATATATCTGATAAAAATTACAACAAATCACAAAGACACTTCAAAAGGAGACGGAGGAATAGAAGCCATTAAGACAATACTGGATATTCAGGAATCCCAATTAACACTTGTTTCCCTGTGGGGGGCACTGGGTGGGAGGTGGGGGACTCCAATCTGTGTGACCATGGCTAACAGAGTGCACCCCCCCCACACACACTGCAAGTCGCAGGAAAAGGCACTAGAGTGGGGCTGTTGCTAGCCATAGAAAAGTAAACGCGATATACATTCATAGCTCACAGGTTATTTGAACCAGTCTGGGAATAAACGCACTTGTAGAAAAATAAAATGTAAAAAAGCCTGGCCCATATATGTTTTCCTCATTTTTGGATTCTGGGAGACAAGTATGGCTACTTTTTCACGGCATTCTTTTTTAAAAACCCCCCACCCTACCCTACCCACCACTTAGAAGGCAATTCAAAAGTGACCCTCCGGTGCTCTGGCTGCGAGCAGTGAAGCCCTTTCACGCACGCCAATATGGGAATAAGAAAGGACGAAAGAGAAGGAGGAGGAGGAGGGCGTGGATAGCAGGAAAAAAAAAGCTGTTGCGAGGAGGTCAAGGCTCAACTTTCAGTGTAAGGAAGTAGTGAGGGAACTCAAGAGAACATATGCTTTCAGATGTGCAGAGAAACCTCATCTGGAACAGTCTCACACACACATACATGTCTCAGTGTCGTCAAGTACAGTGTGAGGTGCAAGGAGTCAAACAGGCCTGAATCTGGGAACCACTCTACTTTGCCCCCACCACCGTCACTTAGCACCGAAAGGACTCATAAGGACTTATAAACACACCATAATGTAGTTGTTTCCAGTTAGAAGGTCATCTTATTAATGTACAGCATCTGTCAACAATTTTCATTTCTTCCATCAAGACATATTGCATATTATTATTAGCACTGCAATGATTAGTCACCAGACAGAAAATGAATCAGCAGCTATATGGATAATCATCAGTTATTTAAACAATCATAGCATCCCCAGTGTGAATATTTGACCATTCTGTTAATATTACATTATTGTAAACTAAATATCTTTCGAGTTTTTGATTGTTTGAAGACATACTGTAACTTTGGGCTCTCTGAAATTTTTAACCGTTTAAGAGACTGAACTAATAAATTCGTTGAAAATAAGCATATTAATCAACAATGGAAATGGCTGACAGTTGCAGAGCTAATAATTAACCGTTTCATCAATACTATCATTTGTTATATGCTTCTACACAGCCTCGACCCGGTGTGCGCACACCAGAGGTGAGGGGTTGTTGGCAAATACCGTACTTGACTATAAGATTGTATTTTTCTTGAAAATTACATTTAAAAAGTGGAGGTTGTCTTACATTTGAGGGCTGCTAAGCGTTCATATACGGAAGAGGATTAAGGCCACTGTACAAAGTCAGAGTTGTGACTTTTTCTCTTCAGAATTTTGACTTTAAAGTCAGAATTCTGAGAAAAAAGTCAGAATTCAAAATTTGTACAGTGGCCCTAATCCTCTTCTATATTCATAACATCAGATATTTCATGTAGATGGAGAGAGTACCACAGTAACATCAGCTCCTGCCAAGCAGCCAAGTATTATAAGCAGTACAAGCACAGATGATAAACTCAGAAAGACAAATTACTCTACCTGTTTTCAAGGCCCTGATGCAAGAGTGTAAAACAGTGACTGACAAACAAGCTACTTAAAAGTGGGGTCCAGTTTTAATGGCATTATTTCAGGATTCCCCTTTTTAAAAGAAAAGGATTCAAGGATAAGGCCACTCGTTCCCATCAGGACTAGTGTGAGAACATGTGCTGCATCTCCTCTAATGTTCAGACCAATACAGTACATTAATAAATACCTAAAGCTACTTACAACTACATTATAGTGTGTTATAATCCATTTATTCAGTGTTTATATGTTTATAAATGTCACTCTGGGGTTACAGTAAAGTGTTACCAGAATCGGTATTCATTTGGTGTGTGTCTTCGAGAAAAGAGGGAAACCGGCTGTTTGTGCTCGAACTCCACAAACAAAGACAAGTCAGTAACCACAAATACATCTCCTCTTAAACCTCAGCAGTGCTCGCATGCACACACGCACACGCCCGCGCACACGCACACACATGACTCAAGAGTGTCTCGGAGAGAAATGAGCTCCAGCTGACAGCAGGGGGAAGGGAACTGGAGTGTTCTGCTGAGAAAGAAGTGTGCGTGTGAAGGGGAGGAAGGAGGAGGAGGGGAGATACTGGGTTTTGCAAAGGCAAGAGTGATATGAGTGGAGGAGGGGGTGTGGGGTGCAATCTGCTGCTCTGCACAGACTCAAAAAAAAAGAAAAAAAAGATGTGTAGTGAAAATCCTGACTGTAGACTGAGTTCAGCTCCTCCGGCGCTCCCTTCCACGCCTCCTCCAGCATCACGTGAAAGTGGTGTGTATCTTCGCCTGTGCTTGTGTTTGTTCATGTGTTTCTGTTTGTGTGGTAATTGTTCGATTGTTCAGTCAGGCATGTGGGAAGGCTGCGACACGTGGCTGCACGTCGCCTTTTTTGAAAAGGAGGTGTGGTGACGAGTCTACCTCCGCTGCCATCCACAAGCTAATTTCCACTTCCTGTCACGTGGCTGTCGCCTCCAGGTAGCTCTGTAGTTTGCGGACAGTGGACTCATCCAGTGAAAAGAGGTCAAAGTCAAAAGTGGTGTTGGTCACATTAAAATGGCCCGTCTCCTCAATTAGGTTGACAATCTGAACAGAGGAAAAGAGAGCAGAGTTCAACTACAGAACAGAGATTGTGCTATACTGGCACTGAGCTGGCTCTTCCTTCTTTCAGCTCTGCCTATGTAGACTGAACAAGAAAAAAGCCAGCATAATGCTGCCCTCGTTCTTTTTACACAGATACGGCATCCTGGTATTAAAGGCACGATGTTTAACATAACAGCCAGTATAACACGCATGTAACACGCATCAAAAATATAAAGCAGGCCAGTGACACCGTTTCTTTCAAACAACAATGGCGGAAGAACAAAGCAGAGATGAGCTTTTGCCCTTTATACAGAATGGTGTGCTGGAAAATTGGCACATTAATCTCACCTTGAATGGGCAGTGTAAAGGGCGCTTATTGTTGTTTACCTTATGCACATTATCATTCACACATTATTAATGGAAAAAACACTACAGTTTTGCTTTAGCACAAATGCCGGATCCATTATCTGTTAAGTTTAGAAACCATTTTTTTCCCCCATGTATCAAAAGACACTGATTAAATAGCCACATTCTCTGATATATTTTCTAACAGGTGTATGAACACACACCTGCTGTAGGACATTACGTTCTCTTAAAGCCATCAGTCTGCGATGGAGGTC